ACACTCCCACCCCACCTTCCCACCCCACCATCCCTCCTCACGAAAAGCAGATTTTCCTTCCCTGCTATGACCTCTTCAATTCCCCAGCTAGGCAGCTGCACTTTCAGGAGAGGCAAGCGGGCTGGCCTGCAGTCTGTGGATAGCCCATTGATGCTAATGAGGACCCAGGAACCAAGCAAAATCAGAAAAATGACCTCACCACCAGAGGCCAGGTTGAATTTAACAAGCTAATTGCAAGCATTAGGCTAATTAAAAGCAAATTGGCACCTGCAATTATAGACTTGGGTTCTCAGGTAATGATGAGCCAGACTGAGTGGACTTGGTGATGTCAGAGCTAGGGAGGGACCTCACCTCCCACAAGAGGGGGTTCCCAAGCCCTGCAGGAGGAAAGCCTCAGCATCCATCCATGTTTGTCAGATCATTGTTGACTTGCCCAGCCCTATATCCTGGGTTCACACAATAAGGACCAACCCTTTACAGAGACTAAATGACCTGGGAGGATTTGACAGTCACCCTGGATACCATCTGCCCTAAACATATTTCCTACTGACCCACCTCGGCATCTGTCTGACCTTTGAGTTAAAGCATTGCCTTCTGATATACATTGTTCAAATACCATGTCTAATAATAACTGACATTTGTGTAATTATTTGCAGTTTACAAATCACTTGCATATATATTACTTATCTAGCTAATAACTAGGTAAGCAGATAGTGATACTAACCCCATTTTTCAGACCAAGAAACAAAAGCTCAGCGAGATTAAGCAATTTGCTACAAATCATACAGTTGCTAATTTGGACCAGGATTTGAATCCATGTCTTCAAATTCCAGCTGGGCATTCTCTCTACACCCCAGCAGGCAGTGCACTGACTCTCTCTTATTAACACATGGACCAGAATTAGTTTATCAGATCAGCTAGTGCTACTTTGGAAAGTGCAAAGAAGGCTCAAAGGAATGGGGAACAGTCTGGGTAGGTTTGCCGGGATCAAGAGAGGATGTGCACCTGGCAGTGTGTGAGGGGTTGGGCAGGGGGACTGGGCGGCTGGAGGAGGGGAGCCAGAAGACACCAGAGGAGCCAAACTCCCTTGTTCAGGCACCTGCTAGAAGAAGCTACAGAGTGTGACATTCCAGGGGATTACCCTGGGAATGGGGAGTGGCTGTCTCACTATGCTATGTGCTGGTGAGACCAAGCCTGGGGTGAAGCACCCGGAGAGTTTGAGGAGAAGGGGGTGGCGGTCACTGGAGGCATCTAGCCTCAAACACGGAGACTTGGGGGATTTGGGGGGAGGGGAATCATGATACTGGCTTCAGATATATATGTTTCTCATGCAAATCAACAATAGTAGGATAATAACAAACACATTTATCACTTACTCTGCTCAGCATGATTCTATGTGGTTTACATATGTGACCTCATTTATCTTCACAAGAAGTCTATGAGATAAGGTACATTATTATCTTCATTTTACAGATGGAGAAAGTGAGGCACAGAGAGATTAAATCACGGTCAAGCCCATATCCCTAGTAAGTGGCAGAGCCCAGATTCAACCTGAGTTTGGCCCCATAACTGCGATCTTGACAACTGCACTAAATTGTTTTTTAAGAAAAGGCAAAGACTTGAACAAACAAATGACAACAGATGGACCCTTCATACTTTAAAACCTCTTTTTAAAATTTTAAAACTCACTACTAATCAAACAAATGGATTAAAACAATGAATTAAAACAGTGAAAAAGTTATAACTGTCAATGCTGACGCTCATGCAAAAAAAGGCATTCTTATACACAGCTACTGGGAATGGAAATTAGTACTTTCGAACAAGGAAGTGGCAAAATATGTCAAAATATTTTAAAACATAGGAATTCCATTTCTGGAAATGTAACCTAAGGAAAAAAATCATTGATATGTGTAAAGATTCAGATATTTATATGTTCATTGTAGCATTGTTTATAAAAATGACAAACTGGAAACACATAGTTTAACATAGGGGCCAATTAAACAAACAAATAAATAGAATAGGTATATAATGAAATACCAGACAGTCACTTAAAACGATGTTGTAAAAGAATACTTAATGACGTGGAAAAATGCTTTTTATTTAAGTGAAAAAAACATATGCTTGGTCCAAAATTTTAACAGTATTTTGATAATAAATATAGTCACATGTCTGTGCATGGATTCATAAAAACATATATACACCAAAATGTTAAAATTATACACTAAACCTCTGAGAGAATTACACATAATCTTAATCTTTTCTTTATGTGTTTTTCTACATTTTTAATAACTATGTACTACTTTTATACTCACAGAATAGTAATTTTTTAAATGTATACCCTTCATCACATTAATTCTATGTCTTGGGATTTATTCTAAGGAAATAATCCAAAATACAGGAAAAGCCTCAGGCACAAATGACCATGTTGTGTTATTTGTAAAAGGAAAATAAGGGTAACCACCTAAATGTCCGATACAAATATGATTACATAAAATACATCACATCCAAAGGCTATTATACACTATTTTAAATATGAAGAAAACCATCTTTATCACTGTGGGAAAGAGAGCTGACTTGCTCTGTGCTGCTTCAAAGAATCAAAACCAAAGGGCAGAACACAGAAGCGGGCAGATTTGATTCCATATAGAATGTTCTAACCTTGGAGCAGGCAGCCTGGTGAGGTAATGAACTCCCCGTCGCTGGAATTATCCAGGAGAGGATGGCGCTCCCCTCAGGGAGGCCACAGAGGGCTGGTCTGGGCTTGGAGGGCGTCTGGAGCTGTGGGCGCAGAGCAGGCGCCCATCTGGACTGAGTGATTGCCGAGGAAAGGGTCCCACTCGGCCTATCCTCAACGCGCTTCCCCTCTGCTCACTGTTATTTTAAATGTTTCCCAAAGTGTGTTCTTTCCTCATTAAATATGTGGGCTTTTTTTTAACTGGTTGGAGACTGGCCTGCCAAAGTCATCTCACTAATGCACTGATGTCCAAGCACCTCAGCCCAGAGCTCAGCACACCATGGGAAACCTCTCAAAGCCAGGACCCACTGCTACGGCCCGCAGCCCCCACTGCTCAGCAAGCTCTCCCCGACGCCCTGCTGCAAGCTCCCTCCTCCTGACCCTCCTCTGGGGGGCCCACAGGCTCAGTGCCAAGGCCTCAGGGGACCCACAGCAGGCCAGGGAGGAAGACAAGAGGAAACGGGCTCAGGCCCATCAGGCCCGTGTGTCAGCCCAGGCCACGCGGCTGCCTGCTCACTGACTTCCTCGGTAATTACTTCATTTCCACCGAGCAGGAAGAATCCAACTCAATAATCCAGGCAGACACGTTAAAAGTAATTATCTGTGTAATGCGTCCTGCACCATCACCTTTCTGTGAAGAAGGAAAAAAAGCCAAACCCGGCAAAAGGAAAAAAAAAAGGCCCCCATTGTCTCGAGCCTGTGCAGCCGCAGCCAGGATTAATTACACAGCCGCGCTAACACATTAGCACCTCGCCGTTGATTGGAAAGCCAAAGACTTTTAATAATTCATATCTGCAGCCTAGCACTCTGTGCCCTGGTGAGGACACAGAGAGCACTTGTTTTCTGTCAGGCAGTGCCAGGCTCGCCCCCCGGCCGCCCCACCTGGAGATGGCTCCAGCCTCAGGCCACTGTCTGGCTCCTCCAGGGAGGCCTCGCCTGTGCGGGGGGGAGAGGCTGGGCCTCTGTGGGTCCTCCCTCCCACCTGCGCTCTGCCAGCGGAATCTGCTCATCTCCTGCCCGAGCTGAGATGCAGTGCTCTGAGGTGGGAGCCCACAGGATCCCCCAAGCTCCATGCTCCTGCAGAGGCGCCTGGAAGCCAGAATTTAGGGGATTCGTAGGGCAGCTGCCTGCGATGTCCCTGTGGCCGTCTGGACAGCAGGCTCAGGAAGAGACAGTCCAACCAGGGCTCCCACCCCCACGTGCAGGAGACCCTCAGGGGAGCCAGACTGTGGGCGAGAGGACTATAGGGATGGGGAAGGAGCTGCAAAGCCTTGAAGGCCGTGACCCCCTTTGACTCTGAGTCCATCCTCGTCCCACCACCTTCCCCTCAGTCGCTCAGACCGCCCCAGCCCTGCGCCCTAGGGCTGGCTCCCTCGTTCCTGGCTCTCCCATCCCTGGCCCTCCCAGGTTCCAGGTTGCAGCCCCCTCTCTTCCCTTCCGCTGCTTGCCTGTGGTTGCAAGAAGCATCTCCCCTAAGGAGGTGCCTATAGCCTCTCCTCCCTTCTCCCTCCGCCGTCCCCGTCTAACTCCCCCTCAGCGCCCCCGCTCCACCTCTCAACACCCCACCCTGCCAGTTCCTCAACCTTTGCCCAGAGCCTCACACAATAAGCCCGAGGCTCTGCTAGCTGCAGCCTGGCCCTACCGTTATAAACCCATCCCCCCAGGCTCACATATCCGGCTCCAGCTCCTTCAGGGCTAAACCCGAGACCCCAGAGGTCAGACGCCTCCTAGGAATTCAAGAGCCTCAGCAGCCCCAAGCCCCAACCTCTGACCCATAAAAGACACACCCTGACCCCTCCCACACTGAGGAGGTGGGTCCCTGGGGCTGACCTGAGCCTGACCCCCAGACCACACCCCCATCTCTCCTTCCTGCTGGCCTTAAACTCACTGTTCTGGCAAGATTAGAAGCAGGGTGGGGCTGGCCTCTTTGCTCTAGCCAGGCTGGGGGCCCCAGCTGAACCCTAGGAAGCTGGCAGCCCCAAAGCTGGCCTCACTCAGGAGATGCGGTTCAAATGTGATCAATTCAGACAACATTAGCCCTTACTGGGGGTTCTGGAGGTGGGGGTGGGGGCACAGAGAGGGCTATAATTAACATTCTCAGCATCTATGATCCCTAAGTATCACTGCCAAGAATGAGGGATGCGGAAGGCAGTGGCTCCGCAGTGCCAGCAACCCAGACTCACACGGCGGGCGGGCTGCCAGCCCTGACCTGAGCCCAACCTTCCTCCTCCCACCTCATCTATATGATGCATCAAAACAGACTCACCGGCTTCTGAGGTGTGTGAGCCCGGCGCTGAAAAGCTGTAACTCTCTGAGCCCTCAGGCGCCCCTCCCCGCAGCTCAGGCCGGCTGGGGTCCTCCTCCCCACCCCTGGGCCCCCCTTCTGAGGAGCAGGGCTCGGATCTGATGTGGTCTAATCAGTCATCTCTCCAGCTGGCAGGTCCCTGGCGCAGGGAGAGGATGCTGTTGTGGTGACTGCAGAATCCAGTATCTTTCCCAGGCAGAAGCAGCTGGGCATGCTCCATCGTCTCCCGAGGGGATTTCAGGGCCACGTGACTCTCCCTCCCCGAGCTGTCACTTAGGATCAGGAGTAAATAGTCCCCAGAAAGCTTTAACTCCATCCACACCAGCGACAAGCTGTTAACCACCCATGCTGCCTGCCTGGGTGAGAACAGAGTACCTCAGCACAGCCTTCCTGGCCTTCCACCACTGCGATGAGACTGCCCCCCAAAGGGGATCTGGGCCACCGTCTGTGTAAGCTGCATTTTGCAGTCCTCCCACCAGAGCACAGGGAGCCAAAAGTTGCCCAGGGGGCTGGCATCTGGGGCCTCACCAGGCCTGCCTGTGGTTGTCTTTTGTCTCCATGGCTGTCTACCCAAGAGATGGGCGTGTCTCTGGGTGTCAGGAGGCCTTGGCCAGAGTCCTAGTGCCCTCACATCCCCCCACCCCACACAGCGAATTTAAAGAAATCATGTTTGGAGCTGACTGGAGTCCGTTACAAGATGTCAGGACCTTCTAGGTCCTCAGCCCAAATTGGTCTCCAATGACCTTGGGCAAGGATGCTGGGAGTACCTCTGTTTTGCATTATTGAGGGTCAGAGGCAGAAAGGAGGGCTTCAGCTAATAGGATTTCAGCCCTGTTTCTGCTGTAGAAAAGCCCATGCCATTCAGAGATCTCTCTCTCTCCCTTCTTCTCTCCCTTGCCCCCGACCCCTCTCTCTCTGCCTCAGTTTCCTTCTCTTCACATTTCTGTGGATGCTGGAAAGATTCTCTGTGGCAATAACTAAGTGCAGGAGAAACACTGAGTTTCATAGCCAGGATCAGAAAGATGGAAAGAAAATGGAGTATTCCCACGGGAACTTCCAGGCAGGCTCACCGGGTCTCAGTCCTACCTGCCCCTGAGACCCAGAAGCTGGAGACCCCAGTGAGTTCCTGGGGTCACTTCTGAACAAAGAAATATTTCAGTAAGCAGGGGCTAGATAAGGGCAGCTGCCAGCACCCACCCACATGATTATTAGATCTTTCCTGAATGTTTATTTGAATGAACTTGATTTTTAAAAAATAAGCCTCTCTTCACTTAAATACAACCATTTCCCTTCTCCATGGGTCTCTTTTACTGTGATCTGAGTGTAAGCTTCATTTTCACCAACTGAAGCCTTTATCTTTAAAAAGAATCTACTATGGAAGGTGCAGGAGCACAGAGTTCCTCCCAGGGTCCAGGAGGAGCGAGGGAAGGGGAGTGTTAAGGGGATCTGATCTACACCCCTCTCCCACACACCCCAGAGGGAGCTACTGGAATGACCATCCTTCCCACCCTAGAGCAGGCCAGGCTGGACCTGGGGATCCCAGGTTAGAATAGCATGCACTTGCCTGCAGCTGTAGTGGGGAGGGGGATCCCTAGGTCACACCCCACCACAGCTGAGATGCTGAGTTCAACCCAGCTGAAGGGGCAGAGAAGTCCTGGATGCAGGCCCAGTGCAGGCAGCACCGATTAAGCCTAACCTACCTGCCCCGACTCTCCAGGACTTGGCAAGGCTGCCCAGTACAGGCCGGGGGAGAGCTGGCTCCCAGCCAGACAAAGATATGGGGCTCTGAGGGATCTCTGGCCTCGAAGACCCAATGGAGTGAAGTAAGGCTGGGGCAAGAGAGTACAGCATCCAGGAGGGGACAGAGAAGGTGGGAAAGGGGACAAGGACCCCAGCCTCCATCCCACAAAATCTTCAGACAGCTGGAAAGGGCAGGAGACGGGCCTACGGGGAGGGTTTTCTCTCTGGCAGATGGAGGGCAAGGGCTGCAGATGAGTCCCCTGGGTCCTCCAAGAGGCCAGAGCCAGAAGTGTTGATGCTTCTCGGAGATCTGGTGGCTGTGGGGGCATGAGAGGCCGAGGGAGGATGGCTGTGGGAGCAGAGCCTTCGCTTTGGGGAGCGAGGCGGGGGAGATGCTGCAGCAGGAGAGTCTTAGAGGTCCAACAAGGATGGGTGAGGTGAAGCTGAGAAAATAGTTGACCTTCGCCAAATCTAAATTCTCTTTCTGTTAACCCAGCAGAGGAGAAGCGAGACTTATCTGAAAGACTCAGGTGGGGAGGGTGTGAGGAGGGGGTGTGAGGGAGAACATTCCAAAGAAAGTGCCTCTGTGACTCTGTCCATTCTCTGCTCTGGAATCCATGGCCTCCAGCGCTTGGAAGAGAAAGTGCAAAACTCTCAGTCACGGATTCACAGTCTCTAAACACTCGGGTCCTCCCTGCCTTTCAAGTGTCATCGCCACCCCTCACCTCACAGTCTTGGTGGCCACTAAATTGATTGATTCGTTACCCCTCAAATATGCCCTGCCCTTTCCTCACTGGCCACGTCCAGATGGCTCTCTTCCTGCAAGAAGGTACCAATTGGGGAGCAGAAAAAAGGAGCCCCATATGATGAGTTATCTTTCAGGACCTACCTGAGTTTGAGCCCTAGGTCCATCCTCAACCAGCCGAGGGAGTTTGAACAAGCTACCTGACTGCCGCACTGGGATTGGGACCGTTTCCATTGCTGTATGCTCTGCGCCTAACACAGTGCCTAGTGCATTAGAAATGCTTTAAAAATATTTATTGGTTGCCTGAATAGATGGATGAATAAATGCTGAATTGCATCATAAATTTCTCTGCGCTGCGGGCGGAGTAGAGCGAGCTGTCAGAATCCTGGTCCCTCTACAAATAGTGAGGACAATACTTGTATAGTGCAGATGGACTTTGGAGTCAGAACCACATTCACATCTTGGTTCTGCCATATCCTAACAGTGATTCAAAACTTATTTGAACTCCAGTTTAAGAAAATTTGCTGAACCTCAGTTTTCCTCATCTGCAAATGGGGCTTCTCTGCCCTGAGCCACATACCATGCACCACCTTTCTCTTCATCTGTCTCATGCTTTACTGTTCTGGGGTATTATTTGCCTTTCTGAAAGCAGAGCCAGTCGGGTCACTAATTAGCAGATTTACTGCCCTGGGGCCTTTCTCCTTTGTCTTGTCTGCTCTTTGGAGACAACAGAACAGCTCTTGAAGCTCTACCATACTTCCTGGGACACTGCCTCTTTTCGGGTCCCACAGGTTGGGGTCTATATTGATGACTCACGGTGGCCCAGCCCTCGAGTCCTGGGGGCAGAGCCCTGGGCTCCTGCACGCCCACCCCCCCACAGACCCTGGCAAAGCGCTGAGCCACACCCGACTGAGCAGAGGCACAGGTGCAGAGAACCCATTCTGGCCCCTTCTTGGAGGAAGTATTCAGACGAGAACAAGGAAGTGACAGCGGCTGGGTGGGACTCCCTGAGATGGAGGAGGTGCCAGGCCAGGCCGGCATGGCCCATGGGGGCACCGTACCAGTGGGGAGGAGCAGTGGGGCCCAGATTGGGAACAAGGGTTATCAGGGGTGTGGTTCTGCAGAAAGCGTCCCTGCCTTATCGCTCTCTTTGCCAACTGAAGAGAGACGCACTCTTGGAGACAGAATTGGCAAGCTCCATAGCTGGCTGCTTTAGCAGGAAGCAGGGGAAGGAGTCAGGGGCCAGAGAAAATCAAGGATGGGTGTTACATAGCCAGATCTTTAAGCAACAGAAAGAAGTCTACCAGCCCCATAGTGGTTGAGATGTGGCAGAGGATGGTCAAGATGGCCCTATCAGCTCTGGAAGGACCCACCCAATCAGCCTGAGGAGTCACCACCGAGCCAACCCTTTACAGGCCTTAGCGGGGCCGGTCATGTGTGCTTTGGTGTCCTCCAGTGGACATATGTGGTACATGCATACAGGCTTGCAAGGGGTTTTACCCACATTTTAACCCTTTGCTTTTTCTCTTCTCCCTGCACCACCCCTTCTGGTAAATGACCCCTTTAGAACTGCAGGCAGGCTTGAGCAATGACATCCGCTGTGGAAACATGAGAATCACCTCCCAAGCACTATGAAGGAAAGAGTTTATTGACACACAATTATCATACTTGTCTGACGCCAGGCAAATAGCAGTATTTGCTCATTGAAATTTGACTCAACCACACAAGAAGGAGAAGGAGAAAACCAGCTTCCCAAGTTATATTATCTGACTTTTATTATTACCTCTTGGGATCCATGTCTGAGGTCCTCAGTTTCTAACTCACCCACCAACCGAATGTCATAAACCTTTGTAAGGAATTGATTGTGCAGGGAACTGTGAAAATAAGGAGAGTGGGCCAGAATCATTCATTCATTCACTCACTCACTCATTCAGTCAGGGGTTACTGATGCCTCCCTTGTCCAAGAAAGGCACCGAGGATGCTGGACGCAGCTGTGGCATTATGCTAAGAGCCCAGCCTATGAAATCAGGCAGACGTGAGGCTGAATCACAGCTTTGCTTTCTACAAGCTTCATGACATTGAACAAGCATTTACTCAGTTTCGGTTTTTTCCTTAATTTCTCAAACGGTTAGAGATGACAGTACCTCCTTCATAAAGCCGTTCGAGGATTGAATGAGTTGTAAATGTAGTAAAGCTCTCAGCTCTGAGAGTGGCCACAGCTGCTCCTGGTGTGCAGAGTGGTCACCAAATCTGGGAATGATGCGAATGCATGATAGGATAGCTGACATTTCATCACAATACAAAATGAAATCATATTGTCTATGTTTCCGGACCTTACAGCCGCCTTATGTCCCCTCTGCCCTTGATGAGTTTTCATTCTAGACCAGTAGTTCTCAAAGTGTGGTCCCCAGAGCAGCAGCAGTAGCATAACCCGGGAACCTGTTAGAGGTGCAGAGTCTCAGACCCTCTGAATCAGAAACTCTATGGCTGGGGCCAAGCAATCTGTTTTGACAAGCCCTCCAGATGATTTTGATGCACACTCAAGTTTGTGAACCACTGATCTAGAGAAAATGACACGTGTAAACAAAGAATTACAATACAGGTGGGCTCTCCTGAACAAGTGACACAATGAGCAGAGTCTTGAAGGAAGAGCAAGTGTTCACAGGTGGACACAAGCCATGTTAGAGGAGGGATTCCA